ATATTTTTTGAAACAGAATAAAATAGGTAAAATTTTATTGAAAAAAAACCAAACAAATTTTACATTTACGACGTATTGTTGATTTAATATGCTGAATCATTATTAATGGTATATAGGCCTACCTATTATATTTCTATATCAATTGAGATAATCAACAATTATCTCATTAATTACACTATCGTAAATAGGCCTATTGAAGTATTATTGAAGTATTATTAATTATTTATTATTATTATTATTATTGTTATTTTATATTATATATATATATATATATATTATTTATCAACCATATTGACATTGAACATTAATATGCATATGTGAATAAAATTATCGCAGAAAATAAACTTATAATTTATAAGATTATTTTTTAATACAGAATCAAATAGATAATGTTTTTATTTAAAAGCAGGTTTTGCATGGACGTAATTTTATTTAATATGCTGATTATTACTATTTCATTAATCAAACTATCGTAAAATTATTATTATTATTATTATTATTATTAATAATTTTTTATATTATTTATCAACCAGATTAACATTGAAAACATGAATATGCATATGTGCATAAAATTATCGCAGAAAATAAACTTAATAATGTTTTTATTTAAAAGCAGGTTTTGCATGGACGTAACTTTATTTAATATGTTGATTATTACTATTTCATTAATCAAACTATCGTAAAATTATTATTATTATTATTATTATTATTATTATTATTATTATTATTATTATTATTATTATTTGTTATTTTTTGTTTTATGTATATGCCTAGGCCTATATAATATATATTGTATACATTTAATAATTTAATTTGAAATAATTATTTAAACTAATTGTTAAACAAATGTTATATAATGTTAACAATAATATAGGCTAAGCTAGACCTAATCGATTATTGATATAATAAAGGCAAATATTTAGATCATCATTAATACAACACCTTCATGACAGTCCAGCCCTCCAAATCTTGTTTTAATAAATAACTGAATTCACTTCAATGATATATTTTGATCTTCATTCATTATTATTATTATCATTTACTTTCTATTATTATTATTATTATTAATATTTTTATTATTATTATTATCTGTATTATTATTATTGTCTGTATTATTATTATTATTATTATTATTATTATTATTATTATTATTATTATTATTATTATGTTTATGTCTTTGCCATTAACATTATCATTATTTCTCTGGAAGGCATCTTGTACAGTAACATGTTCCTGTTTGCCTAACCAGTCTCATTACGTTTTGAGTGAAATAAAATTATGAATTATGAATTATACCAATGTCGTCTATCGATTAAAACATCGATTCGATTAATTAACAGCAGCTTTTAGCACTGTGGCAGTGCCGATAGAAAACAGCAACTTTTTGGCACAGCGGCAGTGCCGATAGAAAACGGCAGCTTTTTGGCACTGCGGCAGTGCCGATAGAAAACAGCAGCTTTTTTGGCACTGCGGCAGTGCCGATAGCCACTACCTGCACGGCTATCGGAAGTTAACATGCTGTCTTATTTTACATCAATCATATTCCTTTTTCCTTAATTGTTATTGATTATTAACTGCATGCACAACATGCTTTTATCGATATGTACAAAGGTATGGTCTTTGTAAGGTATTGAAATTCATAGTTACTTAATATTGTACGGGCTAGGCCTTATTTAGTAGGATACATAACACTTAAAAATAGGCCTAGGCCTATGTGTATGTCAGGCAAGCTTATTTGACAGGGCAGGGAATTTTGAAGGAAGTGATCACTGTAATACCAGATACATTATACCAGGGAGTTGTTATGTAGTGACAGACCACTGGTCTGGCCTAGCCATAAATATACCTGTTTGTGTTGCAGTGGCAAAGCTGATGAAGAGTTGGAGCGGTCGACGATGATTAGGCCTAGATCTAGGTTGCATGCAATGAATAATATGATTTAATGAATATGAGATGAGGTCATTTTTAAAGCCCCATTCCCGACAAAATTTCACTAAAAATGACTTTTTTTAGAAAATATGCATTTGCATTACTCCAATTATTATAAATCATGGAAAAATTTTGGCATGAATTTTAGTTTTACGCAAAAGAATAAAAAAAATGAGAAATACAGACTATTTCTCATAAAATATTACCATTTTCTCGACAAATTCATCGTTACTAGGCAAATTCAGAGGTTGTAGATCGCATCCACTGGAATACTCTCGCTTTTATGTATACTTTATACAGTCAATAAAG